TTGTTTCAATTCATTTTACCAAATGGATCTTCAATCAGTTGCAATTAGTGTCTTGCATAAAGCTACTTCTGTAATGCCTCCAGCTAGTGATGAGGATATTAGTGCTATTATAATTTACTGTTTTCTCTTGACGTGATTATCTTTGTTTTGCTATATAAATATTTTTTAGGCATCTTGGGTCTTCTCTTGTTGCTCCGTATCAAAGATTTGGCCATCAAACAACTGGAGGCTTTTTTAGAACAGCTGTGAGCTGCATTATTCATAGAATTGTTTCGGTTGGAAAAGACCTTTAAGATCATCCAGTCCAACCATTAACCTAACATTACCAAGTCCACCACTAAACCAATTAAGGGTAGAGTAGCAACCCCATGCCTCCTGGCTTGGTGGCTGGATCATTTATAATGAAAGTAAAAACTAGGAATCATTAAGATTGGATAGGATCTCTAAGATCATAATTCCATATAAGCTGCCTTATTTTATGTAACTTTAATTGTCATATTCCCCCAAATATGAGAAAAATAGATACTGGAATGGAGGTACATTTTTTTTTATGTCACTTTGAATATTCACATACTGTATGTTATGCTGCAGACTAACAAAGAGAGATTGGTGGAGAGCTTAGTTAAGAATACTCTTTCAAAATTTTCAGTTGCAAATTTATCTTTAACCACTTGGAAAGTTCTGAAAAACAGAGGATGCTAAATATAGCCAGTAAGGTCACTTTCTCCATTCTTGTCTGAGATAAGGATACAGGATTGCTGGTGGAAATTGTGAGGGATACAGGATTGCTGGTGGATGTGGCTGTGGCATTCACTTTGTAAAAGCCTGCCATGAAGGCCAATGTTTCCCTTAAGCTGATAGAAAGCAGCCAGTGCAACTTGTTTTTTCATACTTGTCTCATACAGAGTTCATTTTTCTTGTTCACAAAAGGTAAAGACAATGAAGGTACACTTTCTTATGTGGAAGATAGACTTGGCTGCAGGGTTAGGACAGGAACAGGAAGATTGAGGTGTAAGTGACTGTGCTGAATAAGGAAATAGCTCTTCAGCGGACAGCTAGAGTTTGTGTTTCTGGTGGTTTCAAATGTTTGCTATGCAGATTAAATAATGCTTTGACAATGACAATTTTTAGGAGGCACTTGGAGATCTGACTGGGGGTTATTGTGTCTTGTAACCAGTTTGATTGTGAAACTGATGTACATTTTGCAGTAGAGCGAAACAGCTGCAACAATCATGAGATCTAGGTACGTGAGGATTTGGCAGGCATCAGAATAAATTGTGCCTTCCTAGTGTAAGGTATAGAATAGGGATTTTGGGATTTGAATAAGGATTTTGTGTGTGTGTGTGTGCAACTTTCTCTTGTCCTTTCCAGATTCCATTTTACACAAATCTAAAGCTTTACATGAGATTAGGCATATATGCAGCTCCCTCTCCAGCTGAAATGATTTAGAAAACTCTCACGTTTATTAAATTAAGTTTTAAATTCTTTTGTCTTGCCTCTGAAATATAGTCCCTAAAATAAAAATATATTCACTGGACTTAAGGGACTAAAATCAATTCTCTACTGGTAGAAAGAGACTAAATATTGACTGTAGCCTAGGGAGATAAACTCCACTAGAGGGCAGTTCAGAGCAAGAGTGCAATCAGTTGCCTTGTTTCATCTTCAGAGACCATTGCTGTAAAGTCTATTCTTTCTGTATTCAACAGGGATTATCTTTTTAGCCTAAAGTATTTTCTGTTGTATCTAAACTTGATAAGCCACCAACTATGTTATACTAAACAGGAACCTATGTTTAGGGTTAAGTGTGTGTAATTGCAAATTTATGCTTTTGCATGCTGATTTCAAGTGTGAGAGAACGCAGGGTATTTGGACAAACGTAAACTTTGGGTGGCATTTTTATATCTTTAAGAAATTGTTTTATCTATTTATATATATGAATACACATGCACATATATATGTGTGTATATGTATGTATGTGTATGTATTACAGTTATGGTGAGATCTGTGCACCAGGCTGAAAATTTTCTGAATGTGATTTTGTGCTCTCCTTCAAACTTCTTGTATTTGTGTTCATAGTTATTTCTAAAACGTCTGCACTGGGTTGCTCCATTGACCTGTGTAGTTTACTAGAATAATAATGTTCAGCCTTTGAATTTTTTTTTTTCTGGATAATGAGATCTTTCATTTTTAGAAATAGCTATTTGTCACTTAATTCTTACAGTTAGATGGCTCTTCCAGGCATTTTATATGTCCATAGTTCCTGGGGCAAACCATTTCCAATGACAACAGATTTTGTCCCCACACTAGCTTTGTCAATTCAGAATTCAGATCAAAAGCAGAATTATGTATTTTTTTTCTTTTTAATATATTGTGACCTGTGAAAACTAATTAAACACTCCTTAGAACCTCTAATTTTAACCAGAAAGCCATTAAAATAACTTCTATTTTGCAACCAAGCTGTTACAATGTGTGAAAAGGACTTAAAAATTGTATTTCTGAAATACCACTAGAAAAATGCATGAGTTGTTGCCTGTCTCCTTTCCTGAATGTAGTGTTTAAGGGATGGGTGTTTTGTCCTTACCAGAAGAGCATTGCAAAGCATTTTATAGTTGTTGTGTCTACATACTAAATGCTTAATTTTCAGATGTTTTCTGTTTATGAAAACATTTGTGTGAGCAGATGTGTTGAGATGTCTTTTCTTTGTTAATAATTGAGTCCAGTACATAATTTCTCACTCACTTCAATATGCTTTTCACTATTCAATTAAAGTTGTTTTGAGTATTTTTTTTTTTTATTGAGCAAGATTTTGTTTTTGAAGTGGCCCCACACATTTAAATGGTTTTAATGCTACAGTTCATTCCAATGAGATAATGGTATATGCCTAGTTAGAGCCCTTCAGAGCATTTTTGGGTGGATCCACCATATTTTATTTGCCGGTCCTGTTATGTTTGAAGATGAAGACACTGTTATTTTCTGTAAACTTAAGTGTGTAGATATGAAAGCAAATGTCACGAGTTGCTCTTCAGGGTCTCACAGTTGGCTGTTTTCAGAGACATGCTTTCAAATAAAACTGGGTAAACTGGTAGGTTTTTTTCTTCTCTCTTGTGAGTAGTGAAGTCAATAAGATACAAATTTGACCATAAGAAAAGTGTTGAAACCTTTCTTCTGAAACGTTTGTTTTGAGGCTACATTGACAAAGTTAATGTGCTGGCTGTAGTATCCTGATGTTCCCTGTGACACTGGGTGTAGAAGTTGAGTTCCTTCTCAGCTTTGCACAATGTGGATCTGATGTCTCCAGAAAAATATCAGGTAATTAAGATAGTTTGTGGTATAATGGGGAATCGGTATGGCTAGTGGATATTGTTTTGCTTGGTATGAGTTACTAAATCTTAATTGGAGTAAGAAAGTACTTTAAGTCCAGTTTGAAGTGCTCATTGTTCTCTTGCACTGTACATTAGAAGTCATTTATGAATTTTGTATGTAACAGCATTGGTCCAAGTGGAGGAACTGAGGAAGATTACCCCAATGAGTAATGATTTTCAATTGTGTGCTGTAATCAACAAAGCCAGTGTTTAGACTGTCATGTCTACCAAACAGACTGTCTGTAGAGAAGATTATTCTGGGAGAATAATTAAAAGGAATTTAGGAGATTCAGGAAGTTTTTTCTTGCAGTATATGTTGATGTATTTTTATTTTAATACTGTCCTCACAGCTCAGAGTAATTCTGAAACATTGCCTTAAAAGTGGCAGCCAAACTAGGAATCTTGTCTGTGACCAGTATCTCCTAACTGTTTGCTAAGGTATTTCTCCTAGAGATACCTGAAAAGGGAAAAGAAAGCATGAGAATAGCTTTTGAATTTGCTACCTCTTTGAGGAGGAGGAGAGACTTAAATCTGATTCTTAAGGGCTCTGGCAGTTTCTATTAGTTTTAATAATAGCAATCAAACATGTTGCTCTTTCCCATCCCCTCTGTGTTGGTGGTCACTGGTTCCATAAAAGAAAACCAGACTTGGCTCTTTGACCACTTAAGGTCATTACATTGTACAGGCCCAGTACATTAACTGCCTCCAATTTCAGCCCTAAATTATTAGGTTATACTGTGATTGACAGGCAGTAATCTCTGACAGGGGAATAGGATTGATATCTGGATTTGTAACCTCTTCAGTTGATCCTGCAAGACCTCCTCAACTGGAAGATTTTGTGGTTGTTGTTGGAAGAACATAATGAGTTAAAGCAGAGAAAAGCAAGAGGGAATTCTTCTGGCTACAGCTGTTTAATTCTAAGTTAATTCTATAGCTGAACAAAACTGTATTTATGTAGTTCCGTTAAAGTTTTTTGTATTTTGCATTTCATTGTTGCTAACTCTTGGCAAACAGATTGTGTGTACTTGCTAAAGGGCCAGCCTTGCCCTCCATTGTAAATAATGTTTTATTTTGAAGGTAGGTCTGTTTAGATGTGGAATAAAGTAAGAGCAGGAAGGGAGGAACAATTCATGTATCTAAATCATAGTGTCATGATTTTAGTATTGTTTGTGGTATTCAAGATATCTTTATGGCAGAGTGGAGATATAACAGAGGCAACATGGGCCCTGTTGGACAGCAGTTGGAGGCCTGTAGAGGTATCATAGAGCCTCTGAAATGACATCTGAATCCCACCTCAGCTAACCCAGCAAATTAAAAAATAGGAATTCTGTCCAAAGTGAATGAAATATAGCAGGGCCAGGAATCTGTCTAGCATTAAGTCAAACACATCATCAACCCACACAGGATAAATCCAACTGTTTACTCTTAAAAATGTGCAGGAATCAACCCAACTGTTTACTCTTAAAAATGTGCAGGAATCAACAGAGTACGGTAGCATTCATTGGCTGTACAGTCAGGACAACTTGTGAACAAAAGCTGATGAGAAATACTAGTTGGTTCCTTTTTGTACTAAAATAGTAATATGTGTGCGTTGTACTTGTCCTTGATTGAATTGCTAATGGTTCTCTTCTGTTTTAGGTTATGGTCAGACTGGTCCAATGGTTCAGAGAGGTGGATATGACTCTGTTGCAGCCGCTGTTTCTGGTCTCATGCATATCACAGGGCATGAGGTATGGTGCTCGACTTATAAATTTAATAGAATCTTTGTGCCATATACTAAAACTTGATGCTGCATGGAACAAGTTAGCCTATGCTAACACATCTGTTATGCATGCCCTCCTGAGTCCAACAAGTGGTCTTATCTCTGGCAATCTAGGAAAATGATAGTGTTAATGTGCTTCAGGTATCTCACTCCAGGCTCACAAAGCCAATGCCTGAGAAACAGAAAATGGAAGAAAAATGGTATCCTAAATCTCCAGTGAATAAATTGACAATTTATGCTAACCTGTTAATGGCCACTTGTAGTCACTTCAAGAGCTGTAATAGACACATTGTTGACACCTGGGTGATGGAAACATATATATGTGTGGGAAATCTCACCCACGCTTTGATATTGATGTTCCATCTTTAAAAGAGGGAATTGTGAAGCCATCCAGATAAGTTTGATAAACTGTCTTTTCAATCATCCTGCCTGAAAATAAGCAGAGATATGCCATTAGTGGTTCTGGAAAAGCTTTATGTGCCTGCTATTCCAAGATCTTTGGTAGTTGCAGTAGTGCAGGAAGCATTGCAGAGGTCGTTTAGTATCTGGATTCCAGGAATACGTAGAATGTATGTCTTCACCTCAAAAAAATGCTGGTCAAATAGGCATTTACTTAAGCTGTCTCGAATCACCTACGGATGCAGGGAATGTGGTCTCCAAATGTCACTTCTCTAGTGAGATAGTGTTACAAGTCTGTTCTATGCATCATAAACACTAGATAGTCTTCTGTGGTGGTGCTTCTGATACGCTGGAAGCAGTAGTGCAGATCTTTAGAGTATGGCACTTGCGTGCACTAGATGAACAAGGAGTTCATCAAATTTCTGTACTTAGTGTCAGATATTCATGTCTGAGTAGGTTGTTGAAAGTTGACAATGCATGATCTGGACATAACTACTGTAGGATTGATATTCTGCCAATAGACTTGTTTTCTGCCAAGAACAATGGCAAACATCAGAACTCTGTGCTTGTGGCAATTATTATGACCAGAGTCCTTCTTTCTATTAAAAAGAAAAAAAAAAAGAACAAAAAAGTCAAGCATTGTTTGACTGAGGAAACTGAAACATCTTGTGCCTAATGTTGTAAGACTGTCTGCCCGTTGCTGCCATGTTAATGATACATACTCATAGGATGGTCCATCTCAGACCATAAGAAGACATGAAGTTGAGTGCAGTCCTTACAGGGACTTCTCTTCAAATGTATAATGCATGTATACACTAAGCAATGACTGATGACAGTAACTGTAGTGTAAGTAATTTTTACATTCTGACCTTGGTGACTGTAGAGGTAAAGTTAGTACTTTCAGTGCAATGCCAGAAACTTCATGCACACCTCAAAATATATCAAACAAAATTAAATGGGAGTATAAACTGTTAGAAAGGGGCAAATGTGGTTAGTACCACCTGAATACCAGAAAGTATGGTGAAAAATTGAAAAAAACAGGACTCTTGTAAAGCTTTTCAGTGGTATGTGAGTGACAGAAAACACAAGCGTTATACTGAATAATTGCATGTAAGTTGTATTATGAGAGTAATAGTCCTCAGTGGCCATTATGAAGATGGGTTTTATTAAAAAGATTGTGTTAAGATCTACACTGGAAATCCAGATGTTCGCATCACCTCACCAGGACTTGAGCCAATGGAATCATGGGAATCGTTTAATCATTGTAACAGTTCTGTCTGTTCACTGGGGGCCTTTAACAATTCATTCAGACTTAGTAATTCTCTTTCATGATTAAAATAAACATGCTAAAACTTGCTTCCTATTTTTCTTTATTTGAAGTTGGTCATATATTATTTCATTAGTTTTTCAAAACCATCTTCTGATGTATAGAGGGACAGTTTTGTTTCAAAGACTTAAGTGGTCAGTGACTCCAAAGAAGCAAATGTGCCTTTTGTTGTTGTAGTGAAAATTTACTCAAGTGGCTTTAAAGTCATATTGTATGCTTGTTTGAAAGTTACTTTAAAATAACAATGTATTATTAATAGTAAAAACTTCCATGTTCTACATTTATGTTCATGTGACTGGTTGTGTTTAAGATTCCACAAAACTAGCTCTGAAAAAAGTAGAAAACCTTGCTTCAGTCAGCATGTAGAAAAGTGGCCAAAGTAAAGAAGAAAAAAGAATCTTACTCACTTTTTCATGCTATTTTTCTTTATTAAACCTTTAATTATTTGTTGACCAGATAACATGGAATTCATACACTAAAAGTAGAATCATAGAATCGTTTAGGTTGGAAAAGACCTT